TGCCTGGTTTCCTTAAATTTGTGAGACATATTCAAAACTAAGTCGGTTCCAAGTAGAAGTGCTTCAATATACAAGGATTCGAGGAAACGGCAAAAATAATGAGGAAAACCTGTTAATTCTACTTTTTCTTCAGTAACGATTCAAAACATTTGGCTCTCCATCCATTGGACCATCGCGCCAAATCTGAACGACTGTCGTGTGGCTCCACCACTATCGTGGAAAAGGCACCTTCCTTAAGGAAACAATCTGTTACACTGGAGTTCCACAAGAATATGCCCACTGCAATTTCACTTCTGAAATTTCAGTGGGCACCGGATTCGTATAGGAATTCAGGAAGGCCGTAGTAAAAATTCTGGCGACAAAAGTAGAGACTAGGTGATGTAGATCGTTCCAGTAGTACACTGGTGATGTGCATCAAGGTCTTTTTCAATAGGACCACGGCGTACAGAGGTGCTACGAAACATGTAAGCATATGCGACGACCATATTGTGGGTTTGCCGGCACATCGGTGATCGTGCCGTGTGTGCATGCGCGGCCCGTGTAGTTTCATGGACTCATTCATTACGTACTTCATCTGGACCATCATACTAGTGACTGGAGTTCTCGATCCTCCGCCTGTCGGTGCGAGCAAAGGTCTGCGATCGAACTGGTGGGGTCTGCACGCGAGAGACGATCATATACTGAACTATGTACGAGACGCACTGGGCACGAAGTCAGTGAGGCGGCCCGTACTTCTGTGTATGGCAAATAGATCTAGAGTGGACGCAATCGGAAGTCCTCCTCGGGTCCCACGGTGGGAAGGGACCACAATGTCGTCCACCACCACCATCAACATTTGGCACATAGTTCATGAGGAGAACTATGTGCCAAATCAAGAGTGGATCCAGTTTGATCGTCGAAAGCAACCAATGTGCTGACGACGACTAATCTAACCCGAAGCAGATGTCGAGATTTTGGGCCAAGTTGCGTCTGTCCGAAGAAACTCCAGCTAAGGATGCTATGCTTAAAGCTCGCGAGACTGACGATCCACTTTACCATTCTGTATCTCAACTGGTAATCATTCTCGTCATTCATTGCTACCCTTAATATCATTTAAGACAAATTTGATGAGGTCTTTGAGAAGTGCTTGTGACATCGAACAAATGATAGTAATTGTTAAGATGATCATATTTAAAATAATGTTAACACTTGATTTCAAAAGTGTTAAAAAATGAAACCAGTAGATTTCAAATCCAAATTTTCGAAATATAAAGATTTCTTGACATTCACATATTTTCAGTTTTCTTATTATATATGTAGTTTGGTGATGTCAAATATATATTAAATCAAAATATTTCAAAAAAATAGAATTAATTTCAAATACAAAAGTGCAAAATAATTATATACACAATCATGTTTTTTCAATCACTTCAGATAGATAATTTGGATATAATGAAATGATATATAATTCACATTCACTTTCTTCCTTGTTATAAGGTAGGGGCAGACTAGGGTCACACCCGCTACATACAAACAACTGATTGCGCGACTCCCCTCAAGCACAGTTGCTAACCCGAGCTCGTCTCTCGGACGAGAAGCGGACAGCTGCGGCCTTCGCTGTCTCCCATGTTGCTGGGGCTTGGGTTGTAGCAGAAGTACGTTTGGGTAGTAGCAAAAGCGAGCATGGGCATGATAATTAACGGTTGGGTGTGACTTTAGCAAAAACGGGTGTGGTCCTGGTCTGGACCTATAATGTAATCTTATAATATTTTATTACTTTTTAAAATTCCATTCATTTTTTTCATAAATTTAAGATATTATACAAGTGAACGATATCACTTCCAGAATTTCATTTATAGCTATACAAACTTGTGATAATGATTATTCAACATGCAACAATTTGCCAGAAAAGCAGATTATTTTATAAATATTGAAATTTTGTATAGTAGAATTTGGAAGTAAAAATTCTTCATGTATCCTTTTGGAAGAAATCATTAATCATGGTTATGTTCCGGCACTGCTTTCTGTATATTGCACGATCCAAGGCCCGATATGTACTTCTACTTCACTATTCCTTGCACGATGCCATTTCCACATGAATTGTCAACCTCAAATTTGAAATTTAAGCGCTTATGTGCGCTCAGTTGCCAGCATTCGAACAGTTCATCCATCCATGTGTCTCATGTGCAGTTATGTCTGACCACGGTTTTGTAGGCTGGGTGGCTTGCAAAGGCAGCTAGTGCTGGCGGAATCATCTTTCCACAGTATCGACAGTCTAACCTCGTACTTTGTTCCTTCCAGATCTGGTCCACGGGCACTTTTGGAATCCTGTGGACTTCAGATTTCAGTCATTCCATTCTCCATTGGCCTTTGCGCATTCTAAAACATCTGCAAATATCTTGCAATCTGAGCAGCTATCTATGATCCGTTCATTCATTACGTCAGTTCAGGGCTATACTTCAATTTGATACATCACATGCCAACCCCAAGTCCCCACATTCGCCGGCAGATTCTTCCCAACCTCACCTTAGACTTCTAGATTTTCAGTCCTGAGAAAAAGTTTGCCTGCACTCTTTCTCCAACATCTTGCACTAACACAACAGATATTGATGATAACAGAGCTCCGTACTCGACGAATCTTTAACTATAAATCTTTCGTCTTCAATTCCTGAAGGTTACTACGTGTTGCTCCCGCAACAGTCTTGGTCTGCGTTAATCATGTTCTAGATAAATTTCCGATATGAACGATCTATTGAAATTTGCAGCTGTTGGAGCTGATGAAGTGATGTCAAGACTGAGCTTTATGCAAGAATGGAATGCATGCTTCCGCTTGTAATTTGGAATCGTAGCCCAGGTGCATGTATTCTTACTAGACAGAAATGTGAAATTGTGCCAGCAAGGACCAATGCTCCACCTGATGGTATATATGCTGGAATCATGGATCTCTCTCTGTCAAGTTGTTAGCATTTTACACATACGTAGCATTTGTTCTCGACATACTGTACTCCACTGACAAACACTTGATCACTACTACACCTCTTTCTCTTCCCGAGGTCCTTTCAATTAATTTTGATTCTTCCCAAGATATAAGTCTCTTGAAATTTTGCTCGATGTACATCATGAGCTTGGGATAGAAGCCTTTTCACGCCGGACAATGGCAAAAATGAGGTTTTTAATTGCATAGATTACTGAATTTATGCAGATTCTCCTCTTCATTCCTTGATCTAGCACAGAGCAGACTCTCCAAACCCCATGCATTCGCTACTTGATCAAAGTTAGATCAGCCCTTGTTGAAGAACGACCACAAACTGAAAAACAATTCCGGAAATGTACAATAAGAAGACTCCATCAAGCTGTTAACAAATTGGCCAGACAAAAGAAGGACGTGAAACTATTCAAATTCAGTCCTTAGATGAAGGGCTTAGGAGAAAATACACCAACAGGGACAGCATATTCCTATGGAGTGGAACAAGTGCATGTTCTTTGAAAGACCCAATCTTCTGCAAAGATTTTCCAAACTTTGTCCTCCGTGAGATACGAGGGCAGTATCAAGGAGCACAGGTTTGCAGTCCACTTCTGTAGGACACTCAATGTTCTTTTCCACCAACTCCAATGGAGTTCGTAGTAATGAAGACTTGGTCATGCTCTGTGTCACTGAGAAAAGAATGGCCGAAGAGGCGAATCCTCTGTACAGTTCAGTGATCACTCCCAAATCTGATGCACTCGGTTTCCCTGGACACACCCTTAGACCTCTTTCGCTGACATTTGAAACGCCTCTGCTCGCCGACTCCTGGTACAATGTACGTACAGAGGGCGGAGCACCGACCTATTCGTGCAGCTGCAACATCGCAGTAGCCCCCAAAGATGGGGCAGTGGCTGAATATTCAGGGGAGTACGGACAAGGTTGTGAAGTGAAAAATATCCCTGGGTTTGTAAATTCGTCATTGCCACGGTGACTAACATTTTGAGGACGTATCTTCTCAAACTACTAACTGGTCTCTCCAGCCGTGTCTGTGAAACCTAGACCTATCATGGCCGCTTCGGGCGAAAAAGCACGCAGGTTTGGATATACAGAAAATCTGACTCTTATTCATTATTTGATATCCTGGGCCATTACTTGGTAGGAATCAGAAAGTCTGTGCAGTGAAAAGTCTGGAATGTCAGTGACACTGACATCTACTGAAGAAGAATCCAAAAATGTTCAGTTAAAACCCTTTTCTCCAACCTTGGCATTCCTCACAAATTTCCAGCTGCAATCATGCATGCATGAGAAAGAATCAGACCCGGAGTCGGATTATTCGCGACTCGCGTGCGGGTTTCGAACCACCGAGTCGACGATTGTTCTAAAGTCTATCATACTACAACAGCCTCCGCGCACACGTGAACCACTGAAGAAGGTGAAGAAAATTTGGTGACGTGAAACAGTCCATTCTTTTGTTTGTCCCTGATCTCGAGAACGAATAAAAACAGGTGCTGGTGATTGACTGGCCGCATGACAGAAAACGACTTTCCTGTCCGACAACAGAACCAGTGGAGATGAGGTTCTTTTGCACTCGAAGCATAACAATATTATGTTCAGACTCAAAATTCTTTCTTCGTTTTGACTTCAGCCGGTCGTGGCTACGAGACTGTTCACCGGAGTGGGTAAGTTGATGGCACTGGATTCGCCGGATCTTCTGTGACTCTTACAAAACCTCACTGAGATCATGTGTTCGCCTCTCCTGTTTGGAAATTTGTTCTTGGTCTCTTAAGGGAACAAAGTCGAAACGACTCGAGGCCCCAATAAAAAACGGCCGACAAAGCTCACGTGATGAGATCATGCCGGGCTTCATTCTTCATTCATACGGCGAATGAAAATATCAGCCAAACATTGAACAGCGGCCAAGCAATGTACGTGACAAAAGCTTTACGTCTTGCAAATCAATCACAGTCATAAGACACCTGGAATTCGTCATCTCTAGATTGTAAATTCAATCTGCTACTTGTGCTAAAACAAAAACTGATCCGAAGAGATGGATACCCCGACATTGGGATTTATTCTATACGAATCGAACATTTGAAATCAGGAATTCGAAATTGATAATGAGATCGTACTTTGAGCAAACGACTACAAGCCATCGGCTATAGATGTATAAAATGCAGTGTACATTGCTTTGGCCCACATGATTCCGTAAGGAGTGAGTCGTGATAAGATCGACAAAATGTGCAGACCCTAATAGAATTATGAATTTGAAAAGCATCGGGAGAACCCGGATAGATCTCAAATTGATTGCAACTAGAGTATTCCTGGTGAGGAATCTAACAAAATATATATACACGGGTGCAAAATTTTCGATCTGAAAAATTGTGAAGTCCTGGACACCTTCGTCGAACCACCTCAGCATGATTGCAGAATACTGTTCCGCGAGATGAAGCAATCTTAATCTCCACTTGTGCTTGACGCATTGGTCCGTTTATTCTCATACAAGTGGACTCGTCTGAAAGAAAGACCGATAACTGTGAGGACGACTAGAAGTCGCTCGATAGACAAAAATTCCAAAGAATGAGATGCAACAGAAATGTCGAAATTACAGACGGAGTCGGTCTATCGAGCAAAATGCGATAAAAGATGTGATAATATAACGCGCAACCATATCGTCACCTACCTGATTCAGGTGTTCATTTCCCACCTTGAGGTTACAAAACAACTGGACTTGAATTATTGCGCACAGCAGAATCAGTGAGCGGAACAAGACATCGATTAAAAAAATCCGGATGCCAATCGATTCTGTACCTTGAATTGAATAATCAGCTAACTGGACGGATCCAATTGTCGTTTCCCGTTAGCCATTGATATTGAAGAGTATCGGCGTTGATAGCTGGATTGAAGAGGTAAAATCCATCTGCGTAAACTGTCCAGCGGCAAAGATCCCCGCAAGGAAACACCAGGCCGGACATGAGATAGACTGCGAAATACTGATGCATGGTGGAGTCCCCGACTTGCCAAACGAAATGACAGTCGATATTCGAGGTGTTCGCATCCACAGCCGCCAATTGGAGAGACTGCAGCTGATGCAGCTGCATCGCCCACAGCCCATAATTCTTCTGCACCGTGGAACCGTTGTCAAAAGCGTAACACTCCACCGTGAACTTTTCATCCATCCCTGCCTCTATGAGAGTACCAGTCTGCGCGAGAGCTCCATGCTCGCAAACTAGAGTAGCCAGGACCCCGAGCAGTAGAGCTATTTTCATGATTTCTAAATTCCCTGTGGCGTCGCGCGCTGGGATTTGAGCTCAAATCGAATCCTGCAACGAGCACCACAAACGATTCCGCGCTCCTTCTGAAATCTAGACCCGACAAAGTCGCCTGATCCAAAAGTCGTCGCCTGCGCTCAGAAGCTACCTCCTCGGCAGCGCAGGAGTCTGACGAAAAGAGCAGAGATCCGGACCGTTGCGGATTTGTCCCGGACAGAAATCTAACGAAAAACTAGCAGACGGTGAGCGTCTCTCTGGCAGCCACCGAATGAGCTACTGGACCTTCGTACAGTGATTCTCCATCCGCGCCTCATATATGTACCTCGCCTGCGCTACGACCAAGCAAGCTGAGCCCTGCCCCTCCGGGTCTGGACGAGCGAAGGCTCGGGTCTTTCCTCCCTGCCTCCCGCCTTCCCTCTCTCCTGCCTCCCGCCCACCTCCCCTAGGCTCGAAGTATGAGATGATTCATCTCGTGTGCCATGTCTACGTCTACGGTCCGTCAGTCAGTAGCTTCTCAAGTCTCACCGAATGGCATAAACAGAGCTCCCGATCGGGCCCCACTGCAATCGCCGTCGTGACATGGCTCGTCTTCGGGCTACTTACCTTGCCTTTCCCTGCCCTGCCTTGCCTTCTCTTCCGCCAACGATCTATCCTTGCTTCACGTGTACCTCTGATAAGTGTGCCTCCGCCGATCTACTAGTCCCTAAGACTCAGGAGCCTAAGCACCTCGCCGATGTTTAGCTCGCTTTTCTTTCGGGCTTTCCTCGAATTCTCCAAAAGCAGCGACCCGTACAGGTGGCATGGCGGTTTACGTCCGAATTGATCGAAATCTTCGTCTCGTCGGGTTCCTGTGGTTGACGATCGCAAAACGCCTCGGACAGGTCAGCTTCGAGGGGAAGGTGGAGCGAGGATAAAAAGCTCCGAACGGATGGTGCTGGAAGCTTTCGTTTCCCAGCGGCCTTCGGTGCCCGAACACCCTCCGTCGTGCATGTACTTCAACAGTGTCCAGCAATTCCGGTCACAATCAGTGCATGTTCGTGGGGGTTTTGCTGTGCCCGAGGGCCCGAGGGTACGTGGGACACAATTTGCGCATACTTACCCAAAATTGGTCAGATCGTCCACGCAACTGCTGCTGGCATCTGCTCTGCACCTCCATCTGATCTGTCTGGACCTCCGAGCTCCTCGTCCCGGTTTCAGACCGAGGCAAATCCCGAATTCTCTTCTTCTCTCTCCCCAGATCTAAAATTTCCTCGTGTGAAAGGAGGATCGATTCATGCCAAGACTGGATGAATTTCCACGACTCGCGCAACAGAGCCCAAGAGAACGCTGTACGAAATCGAGAAGAGGTTCCGTGTCCACCCCGTTCATGAAAAGAGTGACTATCGAGTCAGTCAGTCACAAGCACGACGAGCTCGCCCTGCTCGATCGATTCAGCTCAACAGCGCCGCACAGGTGCAAACACGAACCGACACTCGAGCCTCGTCTGGCCCCGACAGCAGCGCCCGTGGTGCCTGCCAGTCATCGCTCGGCTCCACAGAAAAGACATGCCCGTCGACTTCGCCCGCGGCTTTTCATGGACGACTGACTGACTGACTGACTGACTGACTGACTTCCTGACTGACTGGCATGGCACAGTCGACCACGACCGCCTCGTGGTAACCACGTCCGTCCCAACCCACTCCCAATCACGCAGGCATCATTGGCGCCGCGTGAACCGGGTCACCTTTTCTGCCCGGACCGAGGGCTCCGCTGCAACTGCAACTGCAGGCCTTCTCTGACACGTGCATCGCTATCATCGCCTGTCCGTGACTTAGACCTCCAGAAGTAGCCCTGCTCCCGCGCTCATCCCGACGGGAGCTCCCACTAAGCAAGCTCGTCCGCTTAGGACAGGGTGAGGTTCCTTTTATAGTCACCGCCTTTTACACGTACACGTGTTCTAACTTCGCAGAAGTTCGACAAGGTTCAAGGCATCTCCCGGTCACTGAGTCGCAAAGATACGACAATCTCCAGGGTCCACCGGCAGATGTCGGCAAGTTGGCAAGGGATAATTTGTCCCTGGGGATCGCAGCCTGCTGCTCGATGAATGACGTCGTTTCGAGACTTATGAGATGCCGAAGACAACCGGACAACCGGACAATTTGGGAAGGACTGACTGTCGAGGATTCCTAACGAGAAATATTTACAAAAAATCGCCGTTTGCATTACATGTATTTATCTTCCTCACAATTAAGTCATGACTGTACTGTACTGTACCTGACCTGACGACAAGACGGGAAGCTACCGCCAATTTGCCAGCGACTTTGCCCGATATGATCATTTGGCACTGAATGCTCCAATAGCACGGGAAGCGCTTGTGAACTTGTAGAAAATTGATGAACGAGTAAGAAAGCCGCAAGGATGGTGAGGGCCAAGCAATCTAGACCTAACACCCCCTCGCCAGCGGTTGACTCTAACAACCCAAATCGGTTACCAAGAATAATCAGTTAAGAGATCAACATTAATACCCAGAGTGACTGTTGTTGATGTGATAACCCACCTCATGTGCTTATGCCAAGTGATACATTATGGCATGTTTTATGGACTTTCAGCCCTTGTGGGATATATAAAGTAATGACGAATCAGACATGTTGGATCACGTTACGTCATAAACGAACCCATAATAGAATTCGTATCAAAGTTAGCACCAACAAAAATGGCATGGCTCATGGTTCTTCTTGTGTATCCGTATCCTTTCAAAAACACTGCAATCACATTTTGCCTCGCATGAATAGATTTTTGTAGATGCTATAGATAATATCGATTCGTGTGAGGCAAAATTCTCAAAGTTGCTTATGCAATGATTTTTCAATTTGGTTCATGGAATTTCAAGGACATAAAATTTTGAAATTATTTTTTTATATCTATTTTGGATACAAATTGAATCAAATGATTAAATTATGGAGATTATTCTCTCTTACTTTATTTTTAAAACCCTAATAAGAACCCAACTCATTCTTCATTTTTTACAAATTATAACATTTCAATGACATAAAACTTTGTCATTTTAAACTTTGTAACTTTGTTGGAGCTAGTTTTGATTGCTCAACATCATGGCGTCAAAAAAATGCCAACAATAATATTGATTTTTTTAAATAAGAAATTATTACTTGAACTTAAGTAAGTTATCTAGATTAGTTTGAAAAGACATCATTTCTCTTTGTGATCTAGAAAATTCTACTACGTTTCTTCACTATTAAAAAATGATCACTTTTTAAAAAAAACAATTCAAATGATATAATTCTTACGTTTGTTAGTCATGATTTCTGTTGAACATGGATTGAAAATGATTCAATATCTGATGCAACCCAAAATAGTTCTCTATTCTTGTTTAAAAATCTTATACAATTAGCTATCCTCACATGGATAGATCTGCAAACAATTCTGTGAACATTTTCTTGTCTGAATCTACTCCATCATCATTGGTTACTCTCACGACTCATAGAAACACATATATACCCCATATCTAAACATGCAAATCCATAGCATTTTTTACTTTTGCCTTCATCGTTTGCACGTTTCTAGATTTCTTCGCTGGGGATTCGTGGATTCAGGGAAAAATAAACAACATTGATGAGAATCTCCATCAAGTCATAAATCAAATAGTCAACATGAGACAAAATGCCATAGACTCACTGTCGAAGTATTTAGATACAACATGTCAGATAGCTCTTAAAAACTCCAAACTATGTGGGTCAATTATACATGAAGCAAAATATTCGACTTCAATCCTGTGGAGGAATATTATGATTGCATTAGCTAGGCATATCTACACTAGATCCATGTTGAATAAATATCCATGTAGATTAAATTATTTCCTACAAGATGATGAAGAAAATGATAACCTCTCTTTTCTAGGAGAGGTAAGCAAGTATATACTCTAATCTATGCATAAATCCAATCAACAGGAAGCCAAGACATTACTAAACTATTTGAATATCTTGCCCTCGGAACATCCTCAAACCATATTCCAATTCTGTCTGTCGAGGTAGTAAGGCTTTTACAATGGAGGCTGTAACTCATGAACTCGACAGGAAGGATCGAGATCCAATCACCTCAATTGGAACAACCCGAGACTATACTCCAAATCCTCCCACCAAAGTAGCAAGCCTTGTACAAAGCAGGCAGTAACTGACATCTCTCTCATCGAGGCCCAATCAGCTCAACAGAGCCTGAGTTCAGATGCATCGACAAACGAGGAGGCGATTCGCCATATGCCTGCCTCACGGGGCAGTCCCGGCGGGATCGTCGAGCCATACGTCAGACGTGACGCAGTGCTCCCGCCGGGAGCTAGCGGAGGACGAGACATGTGGTGACCGCGTTCCACTCAGTCAGTCAACGGCTAGGCTATCTGACCAATGGCGATGATTTCTACACCCTGGCTCCTTTGGTCTGCTTATGATGGCGAATCCAACCTCCCATTCTTGCCTGCCCACCACGCCCTTCACTTGTTCCGTTAAATTGTTCGGTGTGGATAAATAAGGATATAATTTTGGATACTGTGCTGAAAGTCCGCAAGTGCTATTCGCCCCTTGACCAGCATTTTCTAATCTGAGATCTGGAATTTATGGCAGCCTTCCCCTCTCTGTGCTGATGCCTATGATCGTCCAACCTCACCATGTCACAGTGTCATAATCGCACGACTTCCTTTCTTTCACCTCATATATATATAAAAAAACAAATATATATACTATGCCATGTGGGTTTTCTCTTCACGAATATGTGTTGGCTCCGGCGCTATGAAATTATCAATGGACTGAATCATATGAAATTGACTATCACAATACAGCGTGTTGGTGTTTGTTACTTGATTAAAAATTGAAATTGATATGAATCTGAGCTGAGTAGAAGATAACTCCTCAGTTCACCATTCTCAGTCTTGAGTAAGAGGGTAGGCAGAGTAATTTGAAGGTGTGACACAATGATTTTCGTGTGGAGCACTTCAAAACATATCCAATACATGATTAGGCTATCAAAGTCCCGCAGTTCGTATGTATATATCGTAAATTACGGTCATCTTCTTGGACTCCATTGAAAGGAAGAGATTGTACGGTTGGATACATCTTGCAATACATGAATCATAAATTCAACGCAAGCTTTGGACACAGTTGGTTAGTTTTCGTTTGTTTGTTATGATCGTGCGCGTTTCCATTAATGGAAACACAAAACAAAACAAAACAAAAACACGGAACAAAAGCAAAGTCTATAATAGGCTGTTGCACATTTGGTAAATAGTGAAAAGGGGGGCAGAGTGAATAGCAAAACCGAAGTTACTGTCCACAAGTGCAAGTCTCTTGCTTTTAACGAAAAAAAATCATTGCTTTGAAATTATGATCCACGAGAATTAATTTCTTAATACGTATGTAATTGGGTTCAATATAACGATGATTTTTAAAATGGGAGATGTATCAACAAAGTGGTATAAGGTTATCGCAGCAGATCCGTTGATAGAATGATAGTATCAAACACCTTCGTACACCAAGTCAAACTACCTACCCGAACAAATATTTACCACTTTGAAGTTATATTACAAAAAATCGGATGGTGATGATCAGCCTAAAGTCTTCCTGTCAAAGATCTGTTCATTTGTATCCGTGCAGCCTCAGTACGAAGTTCTCAGTGTTGCCAAAAAAAAAATGCTGGATTTGGCCGTGTGTTCCATGATATAAGAGCCGACACATTGCCATGCTTCTGGGTGTAGAAAGTTATCTTCAACTATAAATAATCATTAGAATTCTCAATACATTATTTCAAAAAAGTGACAGATTTTGAATCTGAAAGGGAAAACGTGAAAAATATGTTCTCTGAATTTTATTACGACTTAGCTTTTATTAGTTTAAACATTGTAAACAACATACGAAGACAAAATATTTCCATACTTAAACAGGTAGGTCTCCCAGGGATGCCTACGTTTATGGAGATAATCCATTACGTAGGCATAACGTCAAGTTACTGAGAAGAAAAATCTGGCAATGGGTTTCAAGTACAAAACAAATATCTGACTATGTCAATACATGTACTTATTTCATACCTACTTCGTCACTATTTCTTATATTGTGGAGCTTTTTAACATGATTGGTCTGTTTTTTTCTACTTGTGTCCTTACACTTAACAACAATTCTTGCATTCCTATCATGGTAGCTCTGGGCTTTCTATCCTCTATATTATGATGGCTGTGTATCTAGGCACACGCTTTATCTCACCAAGGCCTAGAAAGCAACACATAAAACAATATCTTTAAGGTTTTAAAGTTGGTCAGTTGATTTAGCAATTGAAGCCATATGCTTAATATGGTATGGCCTACCCAAATTATTCGTATTGGTGTTGAAAAAAACACAGAAAGAGAAAGACCGAGAAAATCTTCATCAAGAATTTATAAGAAAGATAAAATATCATGATTAATCCGAAGGCTATGAGAAGAAAAAAATTCGAGAACAAGGGGATTTCTTGTAAGAACAAGAAACAAATTGACGTGTAGCGGAGTGGAAGA